TTTATAGCTAACTGCTTACCCTTAAAAATTATCTCCTTTCCTTAATAGTCACAGTCATGAGTTATTGCCTTTCCTTAATAGTCACAAGATAAAACACAAAAATGTAAAACTTCTAACTGCATCTAGTGAGATTTAAAATGATACAAAACAACTTATCACCTCTAGTGCTTTAATTTCTTATTGGAACTTTAAAGTATATTAACTGGGTTACAACCCCTAGAACTCTGCGCAAAGCTATGACACTAACTGCATTAAACAGATCCTGAGTAACTTTCAACACTTGCCAACCATGCCTACATCAGGCCTTTTCTACATCAGGTTTGTTTTAATCAGCAGGTCTCTCTTTAGACAAGCAGCAACGGTGACAGTCTTTTTGTTATGAATCATGCTGATTATGATCGTACTTCTCATTTTAACCTATACCGTTTGACATAAAATCTACCTGCTATTTACTAAAGCTTTAGACTGACCAAGTATGAGACATAAAAAAATTAATATAAAGCTAACTATTACTAAAACGTAAATTTCACTAATCTTCTTTCAAGTATGTCCAACTATTATAAGTGTAAAATATTCAATGCTACTTGATAAATTGCATAAAGTTTATTTTATTCTCAAGCTTATTAATAATTATGTTAATTAATTCATGTTTAGTAATAATGCATATTACTTAGGGATCTATTTTATTTTTAAGATGGTATTACAAAAGTAAAATTCAGGCATAGAATTTTTAATTGCATTTATTCAGTTCTCATTTGCTCAAAGGTCCTTAAAAGTACTTAATTTCTGTGTGCAGAAATGTGTACAAACCCTGTTCCAAAAAATGCCTAATGTCTACAACCCAGTCTATAGCTCTGAATTTTCAAAAGATTTTGTAAAGACGCATATTTTTGTAAATTCATTTTAGAGATATCAGTGTGAAAGAATTATTAGCAATATTAAAGAAGAAAACACAAAGTGATACTTTGCTTTAAAAAAGATACAGATGAGGAAAAAGTTCCAGTTTATAAAATATCAATGAAAATCCTTGTCAATGGATTTTTGGCTATTGGTATCAGACATAATGATTTCTCATATTTTCACTAGTAGGACCGTGCCATATGATAGGAATCTGCATAAAAACTGTGAAGTCAATATGAGGAAGATATCTCTAGCGAATATTTCATACTCAACTAGAAGAAAACAAATCTGAAAATAGTACGGAGAATTATTATATTATACAGATGTTCGTTGGTTATGTTGAGGTATATGTTTACTAAGATTCAAGAGCCTACTACAAGAAGTAAAAGATTTAGAATCAAAAGATTAAATATACATTGAATATGTACATGACATTTGGTTGATGGATTTAGCTTTTGTTGCTTACATAATAAACTATCTTGCCAAATTCAGTTTGCATCTGCAAGGAAAAAAATCAAACAATAGTTGAATTGATTGGATTGGATACTTTCTAAAACAAATCATGGCTACTATCTTTCCAGCTGATGAAGAATGGACTGTTTCAAAAATATTTCTAACAAATTGTTTAAAGAGGGATGGTACATTAAAAAAAAAAAAAAAAAAAAAAAACTTATGTGTACACCACGACTTCATTGTACAGAATATTAAATTATACACTTTTTCTTGCATTCATTTAAACTATTGGACTGAATTAAATCTACTTCGTCGAAGCACATTAAACCACAATAGAATAAATGCACTCTTTAAAATTCACTATATCTGCTTACTATAGCGAATGTCTGGCGCTAGGTTCACTTAACAGCATTATATTTTGTTCATATTATAACTATATATATATATCTATATACATCTGTAAGAAGATTTCAACTGTCGGCATTTACTTCCATAAATCTCTATCACCTAGGGGATAGGATTCCTCCATTAGTTCGTACAATACTCTGAAAATTAAATTTTCCGAAAAACTTCAGTGAAGATAGCAGTACGTGTGATAAGTAATTTCTTAGATGAAAAAAACAGTTTTCTTGAGTTTTAGCAGTAGTTATGTCTATGTCGTAATGCAATTAAGAGGCAATCGGCCTAGTGCGACCTTTAACAATATATTATAAATAAGTTATCTTTAATGATGAGTTGAATCCAGGAAGATGGAACATACTTTTTGCACCTAGTGCAGAGTGTCTAGAAGAGAAGTAAGTGCGGCACCATCTTTTGGTGAAAATTATAGTAGAAAAGAAGAGCCATTTTTTGTTAACAAAAATGGAGTGTGAGCGGGGATGAGGCCCGAACCTACAATTTGAGGATCTGTAGCTTCAGGATTTCTGCCGCTCGGCTATGCTCGTCTTGAGAGAGGTTGCGAATTAATTTTGATTGGCAAAGCTCAAAATAATCTCGATGCCTTGAAAAGCTAGACAAAGTTTCTGCATATTTGATTTAGCTGATTTAATTCTCTGAGCTATTGTGGTTATTGATTTCATGAGATAAAGGGTTTTCTGATCTTTGAAAATGTTAATGATTTCTACTAAATTTTCCTGTGGGTTTTTCTGCTTAACTTTGTCACTGTAAAGTTTTTTAGGCATTTCTTGATTAATTTTTAGCAGTAGTTAGATGAGGCATAATGTTTATATGGCATAAATGTACTGGAGAGTAAGTCCTAGGAAGTATCACGTGATCACTATACACTAATCAAAGTACAGAATCATGATAAAATAGAAATGCAATAAATGTAGTAAAAATGCAGAAATCATCGTAAAAATAAAATAATACTTAAAAATGTTTGGGTAAATAGTAACGATGAAGGAAAAAATATATACAAGTCCTGAATAACTATTTTAATGAAAGAGTACAAATCAGGCTCGAAATCGCGACCATGTAAAAACAGGAGCGGAGTGTAATATCACTTGGCTATCGTCACTGTGTAGAAATTAGATAAAAAGTTGAAGTGCATCTAATGCCAATGCTAGCTTATCATTTCATTTTATAACCCAGAATGCACAAAATTTATATCATTTGAAGAATTATCTAATCGTTACATGTTCTATTCAAATACTATAATAAATCTAGAACCATTTATAAAAGAAATTAAGCAAACAAAACAAAAAGAAACAGTTTTTCACAGATGATTCAGCATTTCTTATTCAATTAATTCAGTTCTCACTTCTTGACAAGGCAAAAATACACAAACATTCAAAATATCTATATTAAAAATTATGAAGTAAATCTTAAACACTTATTGCCTCGAAAAAATTCCAGAAAGGATTAAACATGATTTAATTCGCGATAATAAATGATGACGTTATCTTTGTTGTTGCGAAGCTTAGTCTCTCTAGATTGGCAACAAATCTACTATTCTGCTGTTCCAAATGTAAACAAACATGTCCGCCATGTTATTTAAACATTAGGCTTAACCGCACTTAAACGGCTTTAAAATTGTTGATAATTCTACAAATATTGCTTGCAGATTTCTTAAAGGCATAAAAACCTTAACTGGAAGATATGAACAACATAATTCACTTATTTTTAAATCAAAAAATGCACAATTTACAAACATATAAGAATAAAGAAACTGAGATCACTGAGCCGGGTAACAGAGTGGATATATATACATATATTCATATATATTTGGTGCGGCCAATTGCAACCAAAATATGAGGTGCACATCTACATGTTATAGCAGTCCTATATACAAAATTTCAACGTTCTGATGCTACTCGTTTTTTAGTTATGCGAGATACGTACGTACAGACACCACGAAAAATTATCTTCAGAATTCATTTTAAAGCAGTTTTTATAATTTTTGGTAGGAAAAGTCTTTTATTTTGTCCTTATGTACAGATGTCATGCAAAAACATCATTAAATTGCATTTGATAGCAGTCAAAATGGATATTTTCATTGAAATATGCTGCCTGAAACTTTTCGCGATTACTATACTTCGTACAGGGAAGTAAAAAAGAAATACCCCCACCCCAATTTTTTACGGGATTCACCGTTAGGCACTACTCAGAAAGAGAAGGGTGCTTAATAGAGGATTTTTGAAGAGAAACTGGCTTGTATCCATGTTATACACGGGAATAACCACAAAAATGACCATGTAGCCAACCAGGACTCCAACCCCAAACCAAACTACCAGTGTTCAGTGGCTTTTACTGTTTGCCTGAAGATAAATATTATGATGAAATTAGGATTCTTCACTTCGGATTTAAGATATATTTACTTGATTAAAACCAACTGATACTTTTGTGTGGCAATATGTTGATGTGGAAAAAATAACAACTAAAATTATAAATAATATATTGCTTATTTCTTCAGGAAAATTAGGTTTTTCTCCTTCAGAATGATATAATTTAAAAAGCACACACTCCAAAGCCTAAAAATTACCTTTGGAATCTACTGTATAATTTAGAAAAGCTTGCATTTTATTTAACTTTTTTTTTTGGCTCTCCCTACCTATGTGGCTATGCATTTTTGATACTGAAATAATAATGTCAAAATATTATTTCCGGCTCACACACAACCATTCAAAATCTCATGCAAGATTAGCAATTAGTAATTATGTACCAGGATATTCAAGATTAGTAGATAGTATGCAGATTAAGTCTTTTACTAACTAGAACTTGTAACAATAATTAAACTTCGAATGAATATGATTCACTTATTTTGAAAAATTTCAAAAACGTTTAAATGTATTTTGAATTTTTGATAACAAATGCTTCTTTGTAATTATTACATGTGGCTACTATTATTACTATTACATATTTCTACTCTAACGTTTTGGGCATGGTTTCCTTAGTGGACACCTTTAAAAACAGAAAGTACTTGTATTTTTTCTATTTCAGTTGCACAGGTTATTCTGTATTTACTATTAAGTTTGAATAAATGTCTGATGGACTGAAATACTTTGATAAAATTAGAAGTAGACCATGCCTTGGAAAAGTCTGACCACACAATATACAACATTTGTATTTTAGTATTAAACAGTGCTATAACAATGACAGTAGGATTTTTTTATAGGAAGAACAGATGAATTATTTTCTCTTTATTACTGGGACAGTTAGTTTGGTATATGACTAAGGATCTGGAATGGATTAATAATGTGCACCCAGGTATTACTGTGTATATATATATAAAGAATTTATAATTTTAATTAAGGAATCAATCTAAAGTGATTTAATAAAAAAATAAATATAAATCAGCATGCTGAGTTTTTACAAACTTTAACAATCGATAAAAAATATAAAAACTAACAAAAAATGCAAAACAAATTTCTTATTAACGTAAGAGAATTGTGATGAAACATAGTGCAAATGAATTAATTTGGAGGCTTAATTACACCATTCTTTACCAAATTTTTATGTACAATACATTAATTAATGATAAACACATAATTTCACACTCAAATTATGCAAATTATGTTTGAAAAATACATAAATTTACAGAGTAAAAACAAATGCTTAACATCACAGACTGGAGCAGAACAGGGAATAAATATTTTAAAATTGCATAGCTTTATATATCAGGAGATAAAAATTTTACAATGTGGATAAATGCAGACGATTTTCAACAAATAAAAGATTATTATAAAGAATACATTTATTTTGCATTATAATCTAAATTTTACACTTTGAAAAAAACTTTCATTGTTATGATAAAGCTCAAAACCTTGCCACATTTAATAAACACGTTTGTAATTCAGCTATTACTTAATTGCGCTTTTCTGTAAAAAACATTGTAGTAAATTGACACACCCGAACCAAGAACTGCAAGTTGGTTACTTAATCAACAAATTCTATATTCCTATATAAAATATATTCATCCTTCATTTTTCTACCTTCAAACTTTATATGGTGTGTTAGTCTTTCTCCTATATTTTTTCCATTTAGCGCAACCTTTCCCATACCAGCCAGAGAAGGTTGTTGTATTACCCTGTAAGTCTTTTCTATTCTCACTTTTTATGAAATATGTCCTGGAGTCAATTCTTTCAGCATTTAATTTCAGTAGTGAGCTAGCTGATGTAATGTCTAATAATTTTATATGAGGTAAAAATGCATTCACTTCATTAGTGTCCATATGCATTTCTGAGTTCCTAACCTCAGTGTCTGATTTAACATCTTTTTTTGATTGTTCTGCAATAGTTTCAATTTTAACTTGAGATTCTGGTATATCATGGCTTATTTTTTTATCCAAAGCATCATAATGATTCACCAAACCATTAGAACTTTTTGTTAAATGAAGTCTTGTGGTGGTTGAAGTTTCACGACTTGTTAATGGTGAAGCCAGATTAAAAATTGGGTCACTTTCCCTGGAAATAAATAGAGTGTTCAGTACACAATAACATTTCCATTTTAAAATACTACAAAAAAATAAGAATTACTTAAATTTGCTTGAAACTAGTACAAAATTAATTTTGATAGAATAATGCTTTTAACTTTTACATAGTTTTAAAAATAGAAATATTATTAATTGTTTTTATAAGTAATGAATTTTAGTGCACGTATATTAAATTTTCATAACTTCACAATACTGATGAGTAGATGTCACTTGAAAAATTATTATGATTTGCATGGATGAGTTACATCATATAATCATACAAATATAAACGAACTAATCAAATACACAGTGAAATACAAGCATTTGGACAGCATATTTCATTTACACCCTTCTATTTAGTAGGAAATTTAACTTTTCATAAATTTAGTTACTTTTCGTGTGAAGCTAACAATCTGTAAAATGTTCAAAATGGTTGAAATTAATTCATTTACAGTTAACATAATTTAAAGCTATTATGCAACTCTTTAGATGAATCATTTATGAAAAAGTCCTTTTGACTTATTTCAAGCATACTTTTGCCCTCCTTTTCAAAATATTGCTTATTTCATTTTACATTTATGAACACAAATCACATGTTGTTTCCTGAATGAGCATGCTCATTTTGTATGTTCACCTCATTTCACTGTCCATGAAATCAGACTTGTCTATAATAAATATCTGGTTGTAATGAACGTTTTTTGCTATGAAAGCAGTGCCTTTAGTGTGGGTAATAATCACAACCTAAATCTATGATTTTCCACCAATGTTTTGGTAGTTTTTCAAAGCCTTCTGCCCAGAAACTTGGTGGCAGATAGTCCAAAAACAGATCAACCTCATTTTGGATGTCCTGTGCAGAATGGAAGATAACACCAGCAAGATGTAGCTGCAGGTGTGAAAAAAGGTAGAAGTATGAAGGAGCAATGTCGGGCCTACATGTTGCGTGTGGCAAAAGATCCCATTTGAGTCTATACAGAGTCTAGATGGTGAATGCAGACACATGTGGTCTTGCATGATGTTGATGGAACTCAGTTCAACATTCTCCCTTGATAGCAGCATCAACAAGAACTAGCATCTCACTGTACACCTTACTGTAGAGGGTTGTACTTTTTTCCAGATAGTCTTTGTGGATAATATCACAGCAATCCCTCCTGATACAAAGCATGATCGTTTTGTTAGTCAAATTATGCTTTGTGACGGGCTCGCGGGATGCAGACCAACATCCTTTTTTTTCTGTGTTGTTGAAGTAAATCCACTTTACCTTCATGGCAAGTGACGATCCAGTCCAGTATATTTCCTTACATTGATATTCGAGCAAATAAGTGCAGGCCCTAAAGGCCCGTCCAAACGAGGCCGCTCGCGACGTAGTCGATGCAAGTTTTTTGACGGCGGCGTAAATTCGCACGATGCAGAAGATGTAAAACTCAGTACGCACCCATTCAGTTTTTCCGCCCACGACGCGTGTATAGCCAATGGCCGACCGAGTTCTTATCACGTGTCATAATCAGAAAACCTTCTTGCTTACCCGTTTCAATATAAGGTCAGAACCACACAGAGATGAGTTTTTGCTTAGAAATATCATAACTGTATACAGCAATAAAATTATCAGCATTGTTCACGCCATCTTCGGATTTCTCAAACCGTATATATTGGTGTATAAATTTAAAAATTCTTATAAAGGGGGGAAAACTGTATATTTATAAAGCAATGATCCGACCAGCATATCATATGCTTCACCTATTTATAAACACCGTAAGTAATAGGAACCTAAATAAATTACAGTTTCTACGAAATCAAAATTTCTGCCTTACAAAATTCTCCTTAATTATTATAAATATTGGCTACATCATGTGTAATAAAAACCTCTATAAATATCCCAATATTAAATATGCCAAAAACTAACTTATAATATAACAACTTCTAAAATAAAGCAGTTGACTGTGAAAGAGTATTCAATAAAATAAAATTACGAAATTTTGGAGGAAAGTTACAACTTGTGTCATACAGCAATCATTTATTGAAGTTTAATAAAATTACCTTTGCAGCGACTTCTACTTGTTACATTATTTTTCACAAACACTCCTATCACAGATAGCTGAGTGGTCAGCGCGCTGCTTTGCAAATGGAAAGGTGGCGAGTTCGAACCTCACCCGTAGACAGTATGTAATTCAGTCAGCTTTTCTCATTTTGAAACGTGTTTCTTATATTTAATCACAAATCATTATATTCTTATTTTACCGATTGTTGTTGTTTTCATTTCTTATTTTATTCATTATTATTATTATTATTGTTTTTAATTTAGTTTAAAAATGTGCATTGCAAATAGAAATCCTTATGTAATAATATATCTGCATCTCTTTATCATATATCATCTATAAATTCTCTCTTATTTTACTTTATTGCATATTTTATCATGCACATAATTCTCATAAACTGTCCAAAGTTTGAACCTCATTCTAAATTCAAAAATGAATAAAAGAAAAACAAAGATCAAGGGAGGGGGAGTAAAAAAATATGAAGTTGGTTTTTATTATATGGTGGATGGTGTATTAAAAGAGAATTAAGTAATTTAATTCTCTTTATATACTGTATTCCAAATCAATTTTATAAATCCTAATTTTCATACAATATAGAATCTGCAAGTCTGTCAAACTGGTCGATACTCATCCTGAAGTAATTAAAAAAAAAAAAAAAATTAATTCCTACTTAGGTTTACAAAGAAAAATTAAAAAAATACAAATAAATAAATAATAAATAAATATACAAACAGAATTTTTTAAAATTAAAAATTTTAATCTGTGAAAAAGCTGTATTAACATCAAGTGTCTTTCACTACAAGTTTAAAAAATTGTATTTGAACTTGAGTGGATGAATAAAAAGCATTTTATGTACTGAAAATTTGAACAAGATATAGGGAGAATGTGAGCTAATAGTAGGATTTTAATAATTCCGGATATTCATTTCGCAAACGAGGCAGTAAAAAAAAAAAAAAAAAAAAAAACTCTTTTAACAGGTCGCTCTAAATAAATCTTTCGGACCCATTCTTGCCATTTTTTGCAGTTTTGCCTCTTCCTAATAATTGCACTTAATAGTAAAGTTTCAGCTATAAAAAAAATCATCTGATTCAGACAACTTGCCGCAAACATACAGAAGCACAGCGAAGTAATAAGATACAGCTCTGTTGACGCTATATTACAGCGTCACGTGATTTGAGCGCAAAATAATTCTATTGGTTAAACACACTCTTTGCGAGCGTACTCGTCTGGACGCTTTTATGCTGGTAACGTAAAAGCGCGTTCGTCAGCTATGTTTCGAGCGTACTCGTGTGGATGGGCCTTAACACATTTGTATTTATCTGCTTGAGTTAGCTCATGCGGCACCCAGCAATTGATCTTGCAACTAATGGACATGGCACTGATGTCTAACTCCTTAGCACACTATTAAGTGGTTGCATACTGATTATTGGGCCCACCAGCAGCCGAGCGGTAAAGACACTGAACACTGGTAGTTTGGGTCCGAGGTTCGAATCCCGCGAACGTGCTGGCTGCATGGGCGTTTTCATAGTTTTCCCCATGTTTAAAGTGTATACGAGCCAGTTTCCCTTAGAAAGTCCTCCACGAAGGCATCCCTCCCTTTAGGCAGATAGCCCTCATGTGCTTTGCCATAATTGAATAACCCAACCCAACGCATACTGATTATCTTCCACAAGTTCTCACAGATGGGCATCAACAATATCAGTAGGCCGGCCAGAGCGTTCTGCTTGTTGAATGTCATAGTCCTTGTTTGTGAACTTTTGGTACTAATCCTTCGCAGTGTCATATGATAAAACATTAGTATCTAAAGCTGTACACATGATTCTGCAGTTGACTTCTTGCACCAGAACTGGAAGTGAATGTTGGTTCTAATCTGGTAGCATAATAGTTCTATTTCAGACACCTTGTACTTAATGATAACAATATTTTTTTTACAAATTTCACAATACAGTGTTCTAAAGCAAGTCTCTTTCTTTATGTTTAACAAAACATAATTAAGCACGGCAACGTGAACTGCTTACACAAATGATATTCGCAGTGGCGGGTTGGTTGGTTGGTTTATTAGATTACGGCAAAGCACTCGAGGGCTATCTGCCTTAAGGGAGCGATGCCTTTGTGGAGGACTTTTTAAGGGAAACTGGCTCGTATACACATTACACATGGGAGAAACCACGAAAACACCCATGCAGCCAGCCCGTTTACAGGATTCGAACCTCGGACCGAACTACCAGTGTTCAGCGACGTTACCGCTCGGCCGCTGGTGGGCTTGCAGTGGCGGGAAACTTTTATTAAAACACTATATATAATATTTCATTTTCTTAAAAAAATTTTTCAAATTCAAAAACATTCAATTTTTAAATGCAACTGCATTTTTATCACAAATGCACAATTAAAAACGATTACAAATTTCATAATAAAAACTTAATATTTCAATTCAGGATAGTTAAATTGTGAAGTAAAAAAATAAAATAGCATAGTAAAGAAATCATGTTCTGTAATAAAAATAAATAAAGCAATATGATTCAATTAAGAAAAATACAGATGTGACTTTTACTTAAAGTGGAATTAAAAGTACACTGTATCCACAAATGTCCTTACTCGAAATTTTTTTTTTTTTAACTGTTGCTGTAGACATATACTTCAAATCACAAAAATGTTTTAAATTAACATTTTGTCAGTTTTAAATTTGGAGAAATCAACTTGTAAAAATTACAAAATTTAACCTTTAACATGTTCCTTTGGTTCCTAAATTTATATTTATGAAAAATTTGCACTTGGTATAAAAAATGAAATATAAAGGTTTTATTCCCATAAAACAGAAATTGACCAAAACATTTAATTTCAAAATTTGTAATATCTAACATTATTTCGAATTTGTACTGAGATGTTGGTTAAGAAATAACTTTTCTTCTTTTTAAATGCCATTCAATTATACTCTTTTGTGATTTACTAGCATCTTTAA